GAGTTATTTAATTGTTAATTTATAATAAAATTATCTGAGGCATGCAATTTTTGCAATGAGACGAAACTCTTGATAATATTATAGGAAAAATGTAGTCATGACCTGAAACTTAAAACAAGGAAGAAAGGGCCAAAAGGAGCTAGTCTACGCAATAAGTTATAATTAGTTTTAAACTTTCAATTTTGGTTATAAGAACAATATTTAATAGATGCGTGTTTGAATAAGCATTGTTTGCTTCATATTTTACCTCACCCCATGTATCCCATGAATATTGATTAATTTGGGATTTTAATCCAAATTAATATTGTTTCATTCACCCTTTATCTTTATATATAGTTCCCCTATGATTCCAATGCAAATATATATATATATATATATATATTTGGGTTGGCCTTTCTTTGGTCACTTGTCACATAAAAGGGATTCCCTTTTTATATAAACTATATATATATATATTATCTCTGAATTAATTATTATAATCTCAAAGTTTTTGGTATAATGCTTCCCTATTCCTATACCATGTTTTTTTAATTATATGGCCAATCATAAGAAAATAAAAAAATTTTTAAAGGTGAATACTAGTTTTCAATCATAAAATTTTTGTTCTAAATTGGTCAAGTCTTTATTTTTAAAATGAAAATATTGTAAATTTAGAATTTAAATTTTCACATCTATATTTTTTAAGCTATCATCTTCTTATCAAAATAAAATTAGGCTAAAAAAGCCTTTAAGATAATATTTTGAAGTACGAAATGCCAAAACTTTTTTTTAATCTTGAATTCTTATTAGGGCTCAAAGGTTTATAATTGTACTAATTAGGAGTAGTAATTAATAACTAGCTTAATACTGACAAGCAAACTATTATAATTTTCGTTATAAAGTATTGTTAGTTTTAAAAGAATTGAATATTAAAATGTTTTTATTGGTATAATAAATAGATGGTTATATTTAACAAACTTTTTTTTACAACATTGAAAAATTAAGTTTTGATTTTTATCAAATATTTAAGAATATTATGTAATTTCAAAATTTTAGGGTCAAGAAAATTATAATTTTTTTCAATTCAAAGAATTAATTGTCAAATATTACTTATCTGAAAATTTAAAGTTTTATATTTGCATTAGCACGGATAAGTGTATTTATAATACTTTTTGTAATATAATATTATTTTAAAAATAATATAATTACAATTTTAGAGAATAATTTAAATTTTATTTTCATAATTACAAAAATATTGATAATGGTTGATAAAAAACTTAAGTCACCCTAAATAATTTTTATTATCATTTTATTTACAATTTAATAATAATCTTGATTTGATTATTAAAAATAAAGTTATAAAGCAAAAAATGTGTCATATAGATTTTTTTTAATTAAAAAAGATAATTTCATTCATAAAACCAAAAGATTATAAGATTTAAGAATCTCACCAAATAAGATTTCTAATGTATAAATAGAAAAATAATTGTAACAACACCTAATAATACACAAAATCTAATTTCTAAAAAAAAAAAAAAAATACACACAACCTAACTCCCTTTGAGTCTACCACCAACAGACATAAAATAATTTTGTTTTTTCCACTCCTATCTTTGTTAAATAATTATGAATATAATGTGTTACTTTGCTTCCTTAAAGGTATGGGGAAAACCAATAATTTCAATTTTGTTTATAACAATTAAAAACTCTCTGCTCATTCAAAGGTTGTGAATTTGTGTTGAATATTTAGGATAAAATTGTCACTTTATATATAATACTATGTATATTCACTTAATTTTAAGGAGACATAAAAATAATTAATTAGATAAAGTTACATGTTTAAAAGAATCAATTGAAACTAAAATTTGATACTAATTGTAAGAAATTTTTTGTAATATTAATATATTAAATTTAGAACTTAATTGTACATATGTTTGCTTCAAATGGATGAAGATTGCAATTTTTATTTCAACATTGTGTATGTTTTTGTTATAAATTGGTGAAATATCAATATGATATCTGAAAATATCTATCTATTCAAAAAACAAATTGAATCCAGAATGACTATCTAAAAAGGAAATATAAAAGAACATATGGAAACTGAGTATAAGAGTTTCAATTATAATTTTAGTATTTCCAAAATTTTAGGATTTGTTAAATGAAATAAGTGGTAAATTTTACAAAATTAAGAAATTTGTTTTATTTTTTATAAGATTTTAAAAAATTATAAATTAACACCCCTTACATCATATAAAGCTTCATTCACTGTCATTGAGAACTTAGAAAATAATTTTTTTTTATTTTCAATTGAAACCAACATATTTACTCAAGTCATAATCAACTATATCATTTTAGGTCGATCGGCTTACAATACAATATTTGTGAATCTTTATGATTTGGCTTCCAACCAATGCATAGCCGCCCAATATGGTATCATCTAAATTAATTAATCGTCCTTGGCAAATAATTGTAAAACCTTACAAATCAACATAATCTTATCGAATAACCTCCTAAAATAAAATAAAATCTTAAGCCTATGCTAATTAATATCTTACAAAAAAAAAAAGAATTTTTTAGAAATATAAAATTGAACATATATATAAAAAATATCAAAGATTTGCCTTTGAATTATATATTAGAAAAGAAAAAAAACCAAAATATATAATTGATAAAATTGCTATTCTAAAACAATTATTGTGTGTGTTTTTGTTATAAATTAGTGGCATATCAATATGACATCTTTGAAATATTTATCTATAAAAAAAAATTGAATCAAGAATGTTTATCTAAAAATTAACTAATATAAGATATTGAGTATAAGAGCTTCAATTATAGTTTTTGTATTTCCAAAATTTTAGGATTTGTTAAATGAAATAAGTGGTAAAATTTACAAAATTTTGCTATTCTAAAAATAACACCTATAATTGCACAAACAAAAAAAAGAAGTAAAATCTCAATAAACTTACAAAAGAATAGTAAGTAAGACTACAAAATAAATTTCTTATAAGATAATAGAGATAAAATTACTATAAAACAAAGTTGGAGAATAGCTATATTCGATTTGCTTAATATTCATTTTGGAAGAATATTAGTATTTATATTACTATCATGAAAAATTTTCGTAAATGTATTAAAAAATAACTATTATTAACTGTATAATGTAATAAATAATAAAAGACATGAAATTTATGCAAATTTCCCTTCAAATTACAAATATGGAATTATTGTCTAATCTGTTGTCTTTTAAATAAATAATTTATCTTAATTTACTAATATCATTATCATTAACTTGGCTCATTTCTTTTTCTTTATTTATTACATTAAATTTCATTTTTCATAAGTAGTAAGAAAATATAAAAATATATTCATGAGTATTTAGTTTTTTATTTAATTTCTTTTTTTATCTATATTATTGATCAAATTAATTATAACTCATTAATATAAGGTAAAAATATTGGATATTTAAAATGAAATAAATATAATTGATTTAGCCTAACTAATTTATTTTTAAGTAATAAAAATGTTAATATAAAAAAATAAAAATATTTTAAATAAATAAAATACATTTAACAAAAAATATATAATCAAATTTTTTTTAAAGTTACGTATAATAATTTTTTAAATCTATTCACATATAAAAAAATATTTAAACTATCCATATTAAAATTTTTTTTTATCCATGACGTTGATTTTTATATATTTATATAGAATTTTTCATGTAAATCAAGGAAAAGGCGCCACAAGTGTAGCAAGTTTCCTGAAGAGGAGAGGCATGGGGTGGGCTTTGACGGTGAACCATCATGGGTTTTCTTTTTCAACCTTTTGTTCCTGTTAGACCGGTCTCTCCAACTGCCACGTGTCTAAATCTATCCTTCGTTTATCTAAACCATCCGTCATAATTATCATGTCAATGATTGGAATTATTGAAATTATCATGAACTTCCCGATATACCCCTGTCACCATACGTGTGCAACCATAGAATTTAACGCCGTACTTTATTAGCTAAACCTTGTCGCAGTGGAATAGTACTCAGAGTTTGCCGAAAGTCCTAAAAAAATTTCTTTCCCTTGCGTTCAGTTTTAGTTTTTCCTTTTTCCAAATTTTTTTCACGCTTCGGCGGCTTCAGTTGTTTGTTTCCCTTTCTTTTTCGCGAATTACTAAATTAAAATAAGTTCATTTTGATTTATTATAGTATTTTTTTTAATATAAAAAATATATAAATATTTATATTATAATCTTGATATAAAGTTTCTTATGTCACAACAGCACCTCGGTTAGCTGTCCACTCGTTTTTTTATTCATTTTCATTTTTTCCTTCTTCTGCCTTTCTCTTATTCCGTGAGTTTTCCAGAACTACAAGGAAGGAGAGACAGAAAGAAACAGATTCATAATTTTGAAAAGAAAACATTTTCATTTTCATTTATTATAAATCTTCCCACTGTTTGGCATTGATTTTTCCGGTCATTCCTTGGGAAAAACTGGAGATTCTATGAGTATTTTTCCCCCCCAGTAAATACTGAACTATTTTGGTTCCATTTCCGTCGGAGAGATCTGAGGTTACAGCGTCTGAGGTTTCTTTCTTTTTTGTTCTGCGATCTGGGAGTTTGTTTGGTTTTCTTGCAGGGAAAGAATTGAAAATTTTCTGTTTCGTTTACTTGCCTTTGGTAAGACGCCATTGGGTCTTTGTTGAAACAAAGAGAAGGGGAGAAGGCGAAGAGTTTCAGTTTCTTTTGGGTCTTTGTATGCTGTTATTATTTTTCATTTTTTTGTCTTTGTAAGTACGCGTGGGCGTAGGAATTGGAGTCGTGTAATGCTGGGGTCAGAGTCTGAGAGTCTTTCGTAAAAACATCCTCTTAACTACCTTTGTCTGAAAAATGCTCTCCATGATTTCTGATGCATATAGCCTACTTTCAATCTTTCTAGAGATCTAAAACAATCTCCCCCGTAAATATTCTTGTTTTCTTTTCTGTTTTTCTTTTAGCATCCAAAACCAAAAATATTATAGTCAAAAAGAAAAAAGATGATGAGAATGAAGACTAAAGCAACAGGGTTGTCCCCGGTGACAAATGGCGGCGCCGCTTTTGGAGGTGGAGGTGGAGGTGAACCGGCCACGCATGATTGGGAGCTTAGACCCGGAGGCATGTTGGTTCAGAAGCGAACGGATTCCGATCGAATCTCTATCCCACCACCGACTATTAGAGTTAGAGTCAAATACGGGTCTATCTACCACGAAATCAGCATCAATTCTCAAGCTACATTCGGTAAATTTCTCACCTTTCACCAGGAAAAAAAATCAACCTCTCTTTTTCCTTTTGAGTTTAATTACATTGAATTAAATAAATCCAAGTTATTGACTTTGGGTTGTTTTGGGGATGGCAGGGGAGTTGAAGAAGATTTTGACAGGGCCAACAGGATTACACCACCAAGATCAAAAGCTGTTATACAAAGACAAAGAGAGGGATTCCAATGCGTTTCTAGACATGGCAGGTGTGAAGGACAAATCCAAAATTGTTTTAGTCGAAGATCCAATTAGTCAAGAAAAGAGGTTATTGGAGATGAGAAAGACTACGAAGATGGAGAAAGCTTCTAAATCTATCTCTGAAATCAGCTTGGAAGTTGATAGACTTGCTGGCCAGGTACGTAATATTGAATTTTGTACTACTAGTAAGTTTTGTTTTTTCTTTTAAATAAATGACTTTGAATTTATGAGATGATGCATTCTTTTTCTTAGTTTGATGAAGGTTGAAAGTTCATTTGGTTGGATATTTGCATAGGTGTCAGCCCTTGAATCGATAATTGCTAAAGGTGGGAAAGTAGCGGAGAAGGATGTGCTTAATTTGATTGAGCTATTGATGAATCAGTTGCTTAAATTAGAAGGGATTATGGTTGATGGAGATGTCAAGTTGCAAAGAAAAATGCAGGTAATCTGAACTCCAATTTGCTACAAATAAACTCATATTCGTCCATAATCCAAATTTTAAAAGATAACATTATATTTGCTCTGGTTTGAATTTGATATTATAAAGTTTATTTTTCATTGTTGATGAAGGTGATGAGAGTTCAAAAATATGTTGAAACATTGGATATGTTGAAGGTTAAAAACTCTATGCCTAGTAGCAATGGAGGTCAAATGGAAATGCAGAATCAACATAGGCATACAAATGGGCAAAAGCTAGCCCCAATCCAAGAGCAGCAATCTAGGCATTTTAACGGGCAAAGACTAGCACCAATTCAAGAGCAGCAGTCAAGGAACTCAGTTGCCCATTTGCCAATCCATCAACAATACCAGCAGCAACAACAGCAATCAAGGAATTCAGCAGCAGGGGCGGTCGTAGTTACCACGAAATGGGAGACATTTGATTCGTCCCCAGCATTGTTGCCGGTCCCCTCAACATCTACATCTACATCCACATCAACCGCCAATAATTCAGTCCCTCCAAATTTCCCTTGGGAATTCTTTGACTAAGGAGTGTGCCACGTTTCTGTTTTCTTATGTGTGTGGATGTGCTTTGGGTTTGTCTTCCAGTTGGGTTTGTCATCTCTTCTTCTTCTTCTTCCATTCTTTCTGTACTTAAGATTTTCTTGTGCAATCCCCCTTTTTTTTAATCCGTCATTCAGTTCACCACCAAATAAATGGGGCTTCCACCATAGATTACTATGATGATTATAGTTAAAAACTGTTAAGTCTCCTTTTTATTCTATTGTCGTTGAATTCATATTCCAATTTGTACTGTCCTCCTTTTTATGGTGACGAGCACATATTATATTTGTAGACTTGTTAATTGAGATACTAGACTTTTAAACTCTCGGATGAAGGGTAGGTGTATTTTGGCTTGCCTAATGAGTATTGTATAATCTTAATTTCCCCATTTCTAGGCCAAATGGAAGGACCAGGTCGATTGTAAATTATTCTCCTATAAGCCTAAAAGAAGAGAAGAATATTGGTTGCTGAAATTATGGAAATATTAAAATTCAAAATTTAATTCGCAGATTAAAATTTTTTTTTTGTAAAATTTTTAGAAAATACCACTTTTAAATATTTATACTTTGCTTACTGTAGGGACTACATATACGACAAAAAGGCTTTGTTAAATGGAAGGGATTTGGGTTATTAGAGGGTCATCTAATAACTAACCTATCCGGTCATAGGAAGCCAAGTCTGCTAAAAGTGCAGGGGAAATGATAATAGTGGATTAATTTAACCATATATATGAAAGGAAACGTGTTCTAGGATAAGATTGTTTTTACAAATGTCACTGATTCCAATTTCAGAAAACCAAACTTATCTGGTGCAAGTCACCAGGATTTTGATTTTAGCCTATGACACATATTACCTACTCAATGTAAAGAACCACGATCAGGGCCACTATCGAGATGCAATAAATAATAAGAAAACTTGAGTTTCATGGCCTTCCCCTGGATTATGAAACATGATATGATCAAACCGTCTTGCATTTTCGATTAAGAAAAGGGCTAGAAACTGGTTCATGGTTGGAAGTTCCCGACTCTATCTTAGTTCAACATGACGAAAAGGGTGTTGGCTTAAAGTAAGTTTGTATAGTGTACACTCTTATGTCTAAGAATTGACTTAGAATTAATTGTTTCAATTTAGAATGACAAATTGCCATTTGCCAGCAGGAAAGTCCCCAGCAGAAGTTGCAATCTGGCAGCTCATTTGCGCTTGATAGACGTCGACATATCTCTCCATAGGAAGAAGGCAAAAAGAAAAGCGGCCCCAACACTTCTGGTTAGTATTAGAAGGTCCAAAAAAAAAAAAAAGAGGTGTGATCTAACATCCAATTGAAATGATGATAGAAAATTCGAATAAAGAATACAAGATAGCATTTAAACATGAAAGGCTGGTAACAGAACATCAATAATTGCCCGAGAAATATGCATATAGACTATAGAGTCAATATCATGCTATCAACACACTTTATAAAGGATCACTTGTCTGACTTTTCCCTGATAAAGAGCATCAGGTAGGCATAAAAGAATACATGTTTCATCCATTTACTCTGATAAATTATCTTGGAGACTTTGAGCCACACCCCAGCAGGTTTCGAGCTATACAACTTTTGTTGTGATGATTAAAGCGAAGAAACGAAGGTCTAAATCATACTTTCACTAAATTGTATGGCATCTATGAAGGACAACAGCTGCTGGGAAAGGCTAGACAGTCGGTGAGCTCCGGGGAAATTGCAAAGAAGCATCGATAGAAAAACGTGTCCAATTAATTAATTAACTAGAAATCTTGATAATATTGTTGTTTCTGTCAGATCAGCTATCTTTTGTGCTATGATCTTTCAACTAACAATGATTAGCTACAAAATCAAATGGGTTGTAATGTCTTTATCCTGGTATCCTGATGGAAAGCAAAATGTACCATATGGACAATATTAAAGCATAAAGTCAGCGAAGCACTAAAAATGTATTTGGAATAGTCTGTAGTTGGTTCCTGAAAAAAGAATTAAAAACAATTTTTTTTTTCAGAAGAATATTGTGAAATGTGGAGTAAAAACAACTAAAAGCCATTGCCCATTATCAACACAATTACATCTGTTTTCTTTGCCTTTTTCTCTTTTCATTAGGGACTAGGGAGAGAGGTGCGCTTAAGATTTTGCTGGTGCCAACTACTTTTGCTGGGAAAGTTGAATGTGTGTGAACCAAATCAGCTACATTAATTCAAGGTTTTATGACTGTCGATTGAACTTGTTAACAGAGCAAACGAGGGCCATTAATGGTCGGTAAGTGATTAGTTTTTCTGGCTATAGTTTGGTCACTGATAGTTGTGTTTGAAGTTTGCGAAGGACAATAACATTTAACTGATTCCCAAAAATAAAAGGTTGCATGGGGAAAGCCATCTTTATTTCCTTAAAAATTAATTACACATCGGAAATAATATGAATTTTAAGAAAATATACAATTGATACTCGATGAAAAAGATGAATAATTTGTAGATAAAATTTTTAAATCATATATCGCATTAACAAAAATTTTAATATCATCAATTTAATTAAGTTATAAATATCACATTTGGTTTATATTAACAAATTATATACATATATATATATATATATATATATATATACACGCACATAAACTTTAATATGCTCATCTTATACATTAAAGATTTCACTTGTACTCCCAACAAAATTTTAATTCTAATCGATAAAAAAAGCTCATTTCTCATAAATTTGATTAACTCTTGTAGGTATAATATTTTTTTGAAAGTGAACCAAGTGTATCATTTTGAATACTATAGAGTATGTTATTAATAATCTAACAACATATGCAGTAATCAAATTACACGTGGCATACAATAGATGGATTTCCTTTACCGTTTTAAGGAGGTGAAAAACAAAGATTTGCAGTTGGGGAGAAATAAGATTGTTCCAAGTACGTTGTGACAAAAATATCCCCATTTATTAAAAAAAAAAACAGTTGCTAGAATTTATTTATAAGTTAATAAAAATGTTATGTGATCATGTGCATCAAACAAGACATTTATAGATGGAAGCTGGGCCTAACTGTTCCCCCACCTTGTTTGATTGTGATTAATTGGAATGGTTTGGGTTGGACTGTTAAATTTTGCTTTACCCCTTCATTGTACTCGAGAGAAATCCCATATTTAATTACTGCATGTAGCATCAAATTACCAAAAAATTTAATGTAGGTCGAAGAAAGTAGGAAAATTGAAAGTGCGTTTAAAAGGTAGTTGTGTTGGTAACCAAATCTCAATGCGTTTAAATCCAATGTGACACCTTAATACAAAGTAAAATTGAACGTTCAATTTCTTGTAATGATAGGTAGAAAAATAAAAGACTTCCAACATTTCAGATTTTACAGTGAACACAAATTAACAAAGTTTGAACATCGAATGCACACAGATGGGTTACATCAAGAAGCAAAGCCCAAATGACAAGAACATTAAAGGGAAAATGCCCACTTTCTCTAGCTGGGAGAAGGCCCCATTCAGTCATTTGTTTGATTGTTCAATTTCGTTTAGGCCCCTACTCATTTTTTTTCTAGATTTCTTTTCGACAGAGTTACAAATGTTTTTGTGCATGGACTGCACTTCAGGCCCTCTTTTCACTTTGATCTTAATTTGCTTTTCATGTAGATATACATTAAACATGGGATGCTGATTCATATCTTTATTAAGATGTATATTATACTACTATAAAATTGAAACCCACAGTTAAAATGAAAAAGGCAACAAAAAAACTGTGATTATGATGTAATTGATAAGGGTATGATCTGATTGCACACCAATTGATGGCTTCTGATTTGATGCAATACAGGCCCACAAGTATGTAATAATCTAGTATGAATTATTATTTAGTGAAGTTTGGCCCAACTGAGCTTTAAACCTAATACTATTAATCAACTTTTCTTACATTTTCTAACAATAAACCAACTTTGATTAATTATTATGAACGACTTTAACTAACATCCATGTCAAAAGGTAAAATACCGTCATGGATCCACAGAATATAAAATACTTGAGAAAATGAATTAAAATTAAATCAACTTTGGGGCGGAAAAATTGAACGGTAAATAACGAAGGGGCTTGTCCTGATTTCAAAGAGGAAAAGCTTTTTTGACAGCACTTTTTCTACTCTTTGAAGATTATGGGATCTACATTGTGAAAATTGCGTTCACTTTCCGTAATTGCCTTTGAAGATTGCAATCATGGCTTTTATGATGTTATCGTTGGCTAAGAATGACGAGTTTAAGATTCAGCGTGCAAATATTACTTATAACTGGTGACTTTACTCGAATCCAAGTACACCAACACCATTTGCAAGATAATGATGAATTACCTTTTCAATTTTGTCTCAAACTAGAAATTGGAGAACTAAATTCATGAGCATCCTTGCTTTTTTTTGGTTAAAACAATAGAAGGCAATCAGTTGCTTAAACCCTAAAGAGTTGCTTCATATACGTTAAAGTCATGAATTTATGTGAGCTTATATCTCAATTGACTTTTTTTTTTAACTTATTATCAATTGATTTTTAATAATTTGATGCTTAACTTAGAATCATATTCAGTTTGTTCTGTTCTTTCTATTTGATAATTTTTTTGAGTTGGTCACATTGTAGATTCTTCAATGATATTATTTTATAGTTATTAACATCTGAATTTTTAATGATTTTAAATTTAAAATATATTTTTTTTAATTTTAAATTAGATATTTAACATATGTGGATAATTGCTTGATCCAATTTTTATCAACCAATAAAAAATTAAGGGTGCTCAAATCCAAAATCTCTCGTAACCAAACAAAAATGAACTGAGTAGAATAATTTGATTAATCTAGCATCCTAACTAGGGAAACCTAAAACGAAAGAAAAAGGAGTCATTATCTATGGCACTTTAAAATTTCTGTGTATTTTTTTTTATTCCTTTCCATCGAATGACAAAGTTGAATTGTTGCTCATCGTGCAATCCAAATAGTATACATTTTCATCTTTTTAACTTTTTTTTTCTTTTTTGAGTGCAGTTCCCTACTTTAAAGGGAGTTCCAAGTTGACACGGAATCGTAGCCCTTTGGGCAGCCAAAGCTGTCTCAGAAATGCATGACGATGGAGCCAAGATCCCGCGTTGCTAAACACTACCTTTGGCTCGTGAGAATCCGAGCCTAATGCTTCGCTTTCGTAAGCCGCTTGTCTCCACAAGAGGGCGCCACTATCTCTGCTGTCGCCATTGTCCCCGTAATATTCCATTATGTGTATATATATAGCTATATACGTGTATATTAATCCTCTTTTTTTTTTTGGCAGTGGTCCAACATTCTCTGAAAATGACGCTTTTCTCTACTATTTGATATGAAAATCAACGTCTTATCTCTAAAGTGCTTCTTTGCCTGGAAGCAATATTGCGTGAGAGGGATTTTATTTGTAGTTATCCCCTCCAATATACAGTGTGTTATAAGATTATGGCACCTGATCAATCGTGTCAGATTTTTCTTTTGAATGATTTAAGGAATTAATAAAGGATTTTTTCTTCTTCTTCTTTATCCCGAATCTGTTTGTTGCTAACTTCATGGATAGCAGTAAATAGCTAGTTCGCTTTTTTTTTTTTAATTATATCAATCACATTGTTTTGTTGTATCTTATCTCTATCCTTTTTTTTTTTTTTTTTTTTTGCAATAAAAACTCTATATTAAATACTTAATTATTGGAAAAAAAAGTATGATAAAAGTTATGGGGTTGATGAGGTCTCTTAATTAGTTATAGCATTCTTCATACATATATTAAGGTTATATTTGATATATAAAATTATAATAGAATAAGATAAAATAATATTATAAATATGATTAAATTACATAATATCATCTTATTTTGTGTTTTATACATGTGAAGATTATAATAGGATAATTTATTTATTTATCAAAATTATTTTTTTTCAAAATTTATACAATTAAATTAATAATATAATTTTTAAGAATATAATTAGATATGTAAGTTTAATCTCATGAATTAAAATAATTCTCTTCAAGTGGAAATGATAGAATAATTTTATGTCCGGAGAATATTAATTCTTCTTACAATCTCTATTTCTCTCTTTAAATATAAATTAAATATAATATAAAATAATTATTATCATATCCTATCAATAATTTTATATATCAAACATGACTTAATTGTAAAAAACTATAATAATACTATAATCATCCTTTCGATGCATGCATCCCAAATTTATGTTACTGAATATAAAAATCTTTAAAAATCAAGTATCATTATGAAATTGCACCATATTTTTAATCTTATATGTAACAAATTAACAATATAAATTTCACAAATGGTAAGTTAATGAAAAAACAAAAATACCTGATCCCTTTATTTTGTTAAAGGAAACTCATATGTCTTACGCTATCAAAACGTGAGTTTATTAATGTTATCATATCTTTAATTAATTAGCAGTAGTGTTGAGCTACAGATGAAAGGATTAATTAATAAAAAAAAATGTAAAAATGATGTTTTCTTGTCGTAATATAAAAATAAAAACATTACTATTTAAATTAAAATTTATTTGTTAAAATTATTAATTAATTAATTGAATTAAATTTAAACAGCTATACTTGCTACTTTCGGCAGTCGGCAGTCGGCAGTCGGCAGTACAGTCATCCCACAAAGGAAACTTTAGAACGAAATAATTAAAAAGCCCACGTCCCAGAAAAGTAAGCGACGTCGGCGCGTGATTTAATTCGAACGTTCTGAAGAGGAAAGGCTAGTGGTTGTGATTCAGCAGACTAGGCACCCCCACTACTTTTTCTACTACTATCTCATATTCAACATTAACCAAGATCACGGATTTGTCCTTTGAAAATTTTTATTCTCCACTTTGAGTCTTTGACAAAGAAAAAAAAACAATATAAGAATTTAAGTTTTAAAATTCAAAGAGAGAGAGAGAGAGATATGGTCCTTTCATGCAGAATAAGCATCTAATCCAATCCATTCTGC